AAAAATTTGGAAAGGTAACAAATAGTTGGAGACTAAGGAACATCCTACTAAAGAATGAATGGGCTAACCAAGAAGTTAATGAGGAACTAAAAAGTACATGGAAGCCAATGAAAATGATAACACCACAGCCCAAACCTCTGAGATGCAGCAAAGGCGGTCATAAGAGGGAAGTATATAGCAACCCAGGGCTTCCTAAAGAAGGAAGAAAGGTCTCAGATATACAACCTAACCTTACACCTTAAAGAGCTGGAAAAAGAACAGAAAATAAAGCCCTAAACCAGAAGAAGGCAAGAAATAATAAAGATTAGAGCAGAAATCAATGCTATCGAAACCAAAAATACAGAACAGATCAATGAAATCAGGAGCTGGTTCTTTGAAAGAATTAACAAAATTGACAAACTCCTACCCAGTTTGATCAAAAAGAAAAAGGAAAGGACCCAAATAAATAAAATCAAAATGAGAGAGGAGAGATCACAACCAACACTGTAGAAATACATACAATAATAAGAGAATATTATGAGCAATTATATGCCAATAAAATGGGCAATCTGGAATAAATGAACAAATTCCTAGAAACATATAAACTTCCAAAACTGAAACAGTAAAAAAAATAGAAAATTTGAACAAACCCATAACCAGGAAAGAAATTTAATTAGTAATCAAAAATCTCACAAAAAACAAGAGTCCAGGGCCAGATGGCTTTCCAGGGGAATTCCAGCAAGCATTTAAAGAAGACTTAACACCTATTCTTTTGAAGCTGTTCCAAAAAACAGAAATGGAAGGAAAATTTCCAAACTCTTTCTATGAAGCCAGCATTACCTTGATTCCAAAACCAGACAAAGACCCCACTAAAAAGGAGAACTACAGGTCACAAAAACAGACACTCAGATCAATGGAACAGCACAGAGAACCCAGAAAAGGATCCACAAACATATGGCTAACTAATCTTTGACAAAACAGGAAAGAATATCTAATGGAATAAAGACAGTCTCTTTAGCAAATGGTGTTGGGAAAACTGGACAACGACATGCAGAAAAATAAACCTGGACCACTTTCTTACACCAGACACAAAAATAAACTCAAAATAGATGAAAGACCTAAAGGTAAGACAGGAAGCCATCAAAATCCTCAAAGAGAAAGCAAGCAAACACCTCTCTGATCTTAGCTGCAGCAACTTCTTACTCAGCATGTCTCCAGAGGCAAGGGAAACAAAAGCAAAAATGAACTACTGGGACCTCATGAAAATAAAAAGCTTCTGCACAGCCAAGGAAACAATCAGCAAAACTAAAAGGCAACCGATGGAAAGGGAGAAGATATGTGCAAATGACATATCAGAAAACAGGTTAGTATCTAAAATCTGTAAAGAATTCTCAAACTCAACACTCAAAAACAAATAATCCAGTGAAGAAATGGGCAAAAGATATGAATAGACGCTTCTCCCAAGAAGACATCCAGATGGCTACCAGACCCATGAAAAAATGTTCAACATCACTCTTCATCAGGGAAATACAAATCAAAACCACAATGAGATACCACCTCACACCTAATGTCAGAATGGCTAACATTTTTTTTTTTAATTTTTTTTTTCAACGTTTATTTATTTTTGGGACAGAGAGAGACAGAGCATGAACGGGGGAGGGGCAGAGAGAGAGGGAGACACAGAATCGGAAACAGGCTCCAGGCTCTGAGCCATCAGCCCAGAGCCTGACGCGGGGCTCGAACTCACGGACCGCGAGATCGTGACCTGGCTGAAGTCGGACGCTTAACCAACTGCGCCACCCAGGCGCCCCTGGAATGGCTAACATTAACAACTCAGGCAACAACAGATGTTGGCGAGGATGCAGAGAAAGAGGATCTCTTTTGCCCTGCTGGTGGGAATGAAAACTGGGGCAGCCACTCTGGAAAACAGTATGGATGTTCCTCAAAAAATTAAAACTAGAACTACCCTAACGACCCAGCAATTGCACTACTAGGTATTTACCTAAGGGATACAGGTATGCTGTTTTGAAAGAGCACACGCACCCCAATGTTTATAGCAGCACTATCAACAATAGCTAAAGTATGGAAAGAGCCAAAATGTCCATCAATGTATATGTATGTATATGTATATATGTGTGTGTGTGTGTGTGTGTGTGTGTATAGATAGATAGACAGATACAGTGGAGTATTACTCGGCAATCAAAAAGAATGAAATCTTGCCATTTGCAACTACGTGGATAGAACTAGAGGGTATTATGCTAAGCAAAATTAGTCAGAGAAAAACAAATATCATATGACTTCACTCACATGAGGACTTTAAGACACAGAACAGATGAACACAAGGGAAGGCAAGCAAAAATAACATAAAAACATGGAGGGGGACAAAACATAAAAGACTCTTAAGTACAGAGAACAGAACGTTACTGGAAGGGTTGTGGAAGGTGGGATAGGCTAAATGGGTAAGGGAAATTAAGGAATCTAGTCCTGAAATCATTGTTGCACTATATGCTAACTAACTTGGATGTAAATTACACAATAAATTTAAAAAAAAGAGAAAAATGTTCTAAAAAATCAAGCTGACAAAAGAATAATGGAAAACAAATGGTTTCCATTATGGTTTATTAACCATAAGGTAAAAACCATAAAGCTAAAACCATAAAGCTAAAAAATAAGAGGTAAGGGAATAGATGAGAGGGGAGAAAGGATAGGCTAGACTTTGTTGAATATGCATCTTTTTGTAGATCTGATGTTGGAACCAGGTGAATATGTTACATAATTATAAAATAATATTGTAATTATTATTCCTAAAAGACAATTCCTAAAAGAAATAGAAGTAAAATAAATTAAATAAACCTATGTATCTGGTGGGTGGCAAAACTATGCAGAGAAGAACTATTTCAAGCAACTTTAACTCTGTCATTTGACTGAACATTTCCAGTGGGATCTATTCGAAGGACAAAAAAGGGCAGCAAACAAATCTTAAATTGTTTTCAGTAATTATATTGTTGGTTCTGGTATTGTAACTGTGATTCTGAGGCTGTGGTAGGTATATTGTATGATGAATTGAGTGAATATTTATCTTGTTATCATTGAGAACTAAGATTTTTCAGTACAGCTAAAGGGAGATACACATGTAAGATTAATAAGGTCAAGTGAAAAAAAACACACACACAAAAAGAATCTTTAGACCTGAATTTGAATAAAACGTATCAGGATAAACTCATGATGAATTTTATCTTAAACTTTCCCCCCAGTTCTGCCCATTGAAAAGGCCTTTAGAAACAATGATTAGGCCAATAGAAATTAGCACCCATAAGTGTTCAGATTATGGTTCAAAAAATAATTTCTTACCCAAAGAACTACGGCTTTTTGGGAGAAATGGCTGATCCCAGGTCTGGCTCAGAAAATGAGCAATATGAACCTTAAATAGCCTTTTATACTAGAAATCAAGGAAGCTACAAAGACTATGAAGTTCATGTAAAAATCAAGGAGTCAACCTGAACAAATCCCCTCAGGGGCAAAAAATAGGATACTTTGGGCATCAGTAGGGATAATGGCAATGAATTCAAACACACCAAATATACTTAAATATGTGAGTTCACAATAGTACTCAAAAAGAAAAGAGGGGCACCTGGGGTGGCTCAGTCATTTAAGTGTCTGACTTCAGCTCAGGTCATGACGTCATGGTTCATGAGTTCTAGCCCTGCATCAGGCTCTATGCTGACCACTCAGGCCTGGAGCCTGCTTCAGATTCTGTGTCTACCTCTCTCTGTGCCCCTCCCCTGCTCATGCTCGCTCTCTCTCTCTCTCTCTCTCAAATAAATAAGCATCAAAAACATTTTTTTTAAAAAAGAAAAGAAATTATGAAGAATCTTTGAAATATGCTAGTGGAGAACTATTACTTTGAAAACTTGTAAATAAAGGGAAAGAATCAAACATTGGTCATTCCTTGCTTATATGATATGAACCTCAGGCTAACCAAACAATCCATTAAGGGAAATTCCCACTTATGGAGGTATACTGGCTAATAAATAAAGAAGAATGATGGGTGGGTGGCACCCACCATAGAATAGTAAAATAGAATTTTACTATTGTGCAACCCCTGTTGGCTTATGAATCTAGGAAATGGTTGTCAGTAGCTGACAATATTCCCAACTGAGAGACAATTATATATTATATACCCCCTGATGGAAGTACACAGTAGCACACTTGGAAGTTGTATTGGAAAAAAAAATCTAACCTGAATCTGATCAAGCCTGTTGACCTAGCCACTGATTTATATGAAATTGAGAGAAAGAGAAACAAACATGCTACAGGAATGCAATCAGTAAAATCTAGGCATGAGAAACTGCCGTAAGATAAATACCCTTGCAACAGAAAAAATGCAAGGAAATAATCTTGAGAAACATAACAACTGATTGCAATGTGTGTAATTATGTGGGTACTGATTCAGACAACAAAATTGAAATAATTAAGAGGCAACTGGGGAAATATGAATACATTGATTGGAAATTTGATAAAATTTCATAAAAAATTGATAATACTAAGAGGTTATTACGATGACGATTTTAAGGTATGACAATTATATTGAAGGCATTTTTAAGAGGGTACTTATCTTTTAAAGGTTCATAGTAAAATACTTAGTTGAGAGATAAAAATATGATGGAGTTACATTTCTATTTCCTGGTCAAATGGCCATTTCCTTCTTTCCAAAAAATGTTTTAAGCAATATTTTCTTCAGTGAATGTTGAGTGACCTATTACCATTTTTTAAATTTGTGTGTTGAAGTCTAAATATATCATAAAAGACCTTGGATTCCAAAGAAAGTTTTTTTCCAGCTCTTGAAATAATCATGTTAGCCAGAGAAACTCTGCATAGTACAGCTCTCATGAGCCTGAGAAAAATTTATACTGAACACCATATGTAAAATCCTTACTGCCTCAAAACTCAGAATTTTCCCTGTAATAATGATAGTTCAAAGGGATTGGGAAATCATTTTTATTTTCCCTGATTGGACTTACCTGTCTCCCATTTTCATGTAAACTTCCTTTCCTGCATATTTTCATTGGCCCAATAAGCCCAGTGAATATATCTTTAGTGGGATCTACAGCAGAGTAATACATCTTAGACAGACAGACAGGGTCTTTGTAAGTGGGTCCCACTTCTTTGGGCACAGTCCATTCATAGGTAAATGTTTGTTGAGGTGCCACATGGGAGGCTGAAGGAGGCACACCTGTGAGAAGTGTCACAATGGAGAGGTTAAGTATGCTTTCTAATGTGGTCATTTGAGCCACAAAGTAGACTGCGTTTAGTCTAAGACAACCCACTTCTCAGTCCCTTATTATGAATTAGAATGAAATCCTCCTTTAATGGAGTTCCACTTGTGCTCCTGTGCCAGGTCACGGATGGGTGTGATTTCCTTCAGGAAGCCTCCTCTTAACCAGTCTGCGATTGGTGCCTCTACAGTCTGAATGTTTGTGTCCTCCCAGAATTCACATATTGCAACCCTAACACCCCATGTGATAGTGTTAGAAGGTGGTACCTTTGGAGGGTGATCAAGGTAATCCTAAATGGGATTAGTGCCCTTATAATAGAGATCCCACATAGCTCCCTAATCCCTGCCACCTTGTGAAAATACAATGAGAAGTCTGAGACCCAGAAAAGGGTCTTCATCCAACCATGCTGGCTCCCTGATCTTGGATTTTCAGCATCCCGAAATGTGAAAGATAAATTTCTGTTGTTTCAGTCTGTGGTATTTAGTCTGTGGTATTTCAGTCTGTGGTATTTAGTTATAGCAGCCTTAAGAGACTAGGAGAGCCCCTGAGAATGTCCCCAGCACATTTAATGTTAGATTGTGGGTATTTCCCTGCCCCCACCCCAGCACCCAATGGAACTTAACCTTCCTGAAAGGCAAGCATTGTCTCTATATTTCTATTGGCTAGAGCAACACCTGAAAATAGGAGGTAATCCATACATTTTCTATTGAATGATACTGAACTGAAAATAATTTCAGAACTGAAAGGAAACTGCAGATGATCCGGTTCAAATCTCCTGATTGTATACTTGGGGAAAGTGAGGCCAGAAAGACTTCATAACTTGCCCACAGTCATACTGCAAGTGGTGACAAAGGCACTAGTCTTCTTCAGCCAGCCCTGACATATAAAAGTACCAAAATATGTGCATAAAGTGGAATATTTTGTGTTATTAAAATGATATCAACATGCTTATGATGCTAAAGAAACAAGTTCAGTACAAAATTACAATGATAAGTATATTTATGTAACTGTGATCTCAACCACATTTAAAATATATAGGTACCCAGATGAAAGAGTAGAGGAACTATACAAGAATATAATACGGTTGTCTGTAGAACTATAGATAACATTGTTGGCTATATCTTTTTATATTTTTCAAATATTCAAGTATTCATCTAATCTTATAATTGCAAGAACATTTTCAAATTTAAAAATCACCCAAGGAGTACTTCAGAAATGTATAACTGATGTAATCCTAATTAGTTACTAACAGCACTGTTAAAAATCATCCAATTAAGGCAGAACAAAATTCCATAAACCAATTGGAAATGGAAGGAGAAGAGGTTAACTTGCTTCCTGCCATGATGCCTAAAAATGATACATGAGCAGTTTCCTTGGAAGATCCTGCCTTCAGTTTTTGCAGGACAGTTTTCCCTGGTGACCAGCACAGTGGGTTATTAAATATTGTTTGGTTTCAGAATGTTGTACTCACTTCCACTTGAGGGGTTGTGATGTGAGGCATAGTAGGAGCCCTCGTTGTCCTTACTGACTCTCACCCCAATGGGCTCAATACTGAGGGGATATGTTCCTTTGTTATGGAAAGTGACTCTGATCGTGTCTCCCACCTCTGCCCAAATGACAGGACCTAGGGACAAAGAGAACATTATTACCCTCCCTTGGTATATAACATACAGAGTACATAAGACAGTTGTTTTCTTTGGCTTATCCTCTGGCAGAAACCACTGGAAGCAAGAACATTTTATTTGTGGGAAATGGAAAACCTAGTTTTTTAAAACTCCATTATCAATTTGACATGGCAAGGCTCAAAAGAGATGAGAAGGGTTTTTTGATTCGACTTTAGGTTAAGAAAATTTGTTACTGTTTTTATCCAAGTCAGTTCACCGGCTTTATACATCTACAAGAAACTATTCAGTGTGTATCTATACTCTTTTCATCTTCGCCTTCGGTTGGCCAGATGGGTGACATTTGTCCCAAGAGTCAGGGGTGTTCTATAAACCTTGATCACCCTAAGAGGGTAAGTTAAATTGTCTTGGATGTGAAGAGTAACACTTTTGTGGATTTTTCTTCACCAAAATTAATATTATTACCAAATATAGAATAAAAACATAGATACATAGTGCATATTTTATGTAATATATAAGATGATATTGAGAGCTTTCCGTGTGCTTTTCTGAGTTTTTATGTGTATTAACTCCTTTAATCTTTACAACACTTTTATGAGGTAAGGACTGTTATCATTATTACTGTTTCCATTTTACAGAAAGAAGGCAGAGCAAGCTGAGTACTTTCAAAGGTCACATGGTTAATAGGTAAGGAGTGAGGATAGTCTGAATCTAGACTTTGTATGCTCACCCATTATATTCTGCCTGAAAGCCTGAGCAAGAACAGGTCTCTGGGCTGTGGACAAGGCTCTATGACAGAGGCAGTCTCTTTCATTAATAGCCTGGATTTTATTTCTAAGGAAGTGTACCTTCAGCTAAGAACAGAGGCTGACAGCTTTGTTGTCAATTTAAACCAAGTCATAAATTCACAATTCTCCTTACCTCTTGAAGAAAAAAAACATCATTATTTGAAGCTAGCATAGTTTTTAACGATGAAGATTTACTATTGGTAATTCACGTTGGAAAATTAATTAGCTGCTACATTTAATAGTTGAATGACCTTCCACAACTCTAGTTTATACATAGAAATCATACTGCAGTTCTTGAAGTTTCTATTCTTTCTGAGGTTGGGTAGCCCAGGAGAAGAGTATAATAGTCATTGATACTCTGCATGGACTCACCCAGGATGCCAAGATGTTCCTCTTCAGGGCCCCTCTTCTTTTGATTTGTGAAGGAGGCATCTGTGTACTCACGATAAACCAGCTTTTTATAAGATCCTCCAATTCTTGTAGGACCTTGTTCAAAAAATACCTCTGAAGCACTGCCAAGAGAAAAAGGGTTTAACAGTGGAGTTGAAAACAAAACAGAAAGCAGGTATTCATATAGGATACTAACTGAAGAGAAAAATGATGACCAGCGCTAGGAGGTAATTATTATTCATTATTTATCAAATATCTAAAAAGAAGCAGATGGTACTAGGCACTTCACAGAAGGATGTTCAACTAAAGAGTGGAGACCCGTGGTGTAGAGGTTTCACTTTTTCAAGTGAAGGGAAACAATTTTAAGATGGCTCGCGTCAACCCCTAATAGTTATACTATTCTACGATAGTATCTTTTTAACAAATTATAAAAGGTTTAAAAATACAATAGCTAGCTTATTGCATATGAGTACCCACCAGATACTTAGGAGCTTTCATTTATTATTTGAAACTCCCATAATAAGGTGGCAAAGTTGGCATTATTCTTCCCAGTTTACAAATGGAGAAATTATATCTCAGAGAGGTGTTTGACTTGCCAAAGTCATCCCATTCATCTCTTCTTCCATTTAACAAATGTAGAGGACACATGCTTTTTTGCCAGGAACCTTGGTATGTGCTGATGGTATAACCATAAGCAAGCTGGACCCATCTCTGTCCACATGGACTTGACAGAGAAGACAGACTGTGAGCCAATCAATGTAATAACATTGATATTAATATCAATATTATTGATTAATTGCATGTGCAATTAACATGCAATAAGCACAGGGTGTTATGGAGCAGTTTGGGGGAAGTGGTAGGAAGAGGCTCCAAAGGCTTTCCAAAGAAAATGATTTTTAAAAACTATCTAGAAGAGAAGTAGAGTTAAAAAGATGAAGTATAGGGGCACCTGGGTGGCTCAGTCTGTTAAGCAACTGACTTGGCTCAGGTCAGGATCTCGCAGTTCAGTTCGAGCCCTGCTGTGCTGACAGCTCAGAGCCTGGAGCCTGCTTTAGATTCTGTGTCTCCCTCTCTCTCTGCGCCCCCCTTTTCTCTCTCTCTCTCTTTTCTCAAAAATAATAAATAAACATTTGAAAAAAAGATGAAGTATAGGTGGGGGGGTGGAGAATGAGGTGGGTGTTTACAAAGAGGAAATAGCCTATGGGAAGACTCAGAGGAAAGAGTGAATATGTCATGTTTTACAAAATATGACAGGAGCACAGTGTGCAGGGCAGGGCAAAAGAGAGAGAATGGGAGAGAAGAGAGAGAATGAGGCTTGGAAAGATGGGGGGTGGACAGCAGGACCTTGCTAAAATTTCAGTACTCCATCCCAGAGCAGTGGGAAAGCTTTGAAATATGTAAACATTCAGAATTAGTGTTTTAAAAGGATCCCTCAGGTGAGGAAAAAATAGACACTTTTTGGAGATGTTTAGGATATAGTGAGATAGTACTTGAGAGGAGGAGGGAGTGGGGAAGTGTGGAGTCAATGATGGTACTCAGGTTTGGGGCTTCACTGATGGATGGATAATTATAGTAGTCACAGAGAGGAGGAAATTCAGGTATACGGAGAAAACAATGGTTCAGATGTGGACATGCTGATTTGGAGGGACCTCATCTAAGCAGGGTGTTTTTAAGCAATTAAAAATGCAAATCTGCAATTTACAAGAGCCTCCTGAGCTGGTGATACAGCTTTGGAGTCATTGCCTCTGGATGTCAGTGTAGATTGGGACTTAAATTTCTGCTTCAGGAATCAGAGACCTGGGTAGAGCCAGGCCTAGCTATTGACCTGTCATGCATCATTGAGTAAGTTACTAAACCTTTCCAAGTAGATAGGTGGCAAAGAAGGCATCTCTTAGGAAGTGATATTTGAGCAGAGACTTGAAACAGGGATGTGGCATAATTTCATCAACACTTTTGAAAGATCACTTTGGGTGCTTTATGGTGAATGGACAGTAGGAAAGAAGACTGAGCAGGGAAGAATGGCTGGGAGGTTGTGGAACTCACTAGACACATACAGGAGTAGCTGCTGTACCCCAGGGGACGCTATTAAGAAAGTGAAAAGAAAACCTAATGAATGGGGGAAAATATTTGCAAACAATGTATCTGATAAGAGATTAATATCCAGAATTTATAAAGAAGTCACATACTTTAACAACCACCACCAACAACAAAAACAAAGAACCCAACTCAACAACAGGAAAAGGACTTGAACAGACTTCTCCAAACACCAACAACATGAAAAGATACTGAACATCACTAGTCATCAGGAAAATGCAAATCAAAATCACAATAAGATACAGCTCCACACTCAAGAAGATGTCTATTATTTTACAAATGGAAAATAAATATTGGTAAGTAGGTAGAGAAATTGGAACCCTTGTACATTACTGGTAAGCATGTAAAATGGTACAGCCACTGTGGAAAACAGTACGGCTCTTCCTCAAAAAATTAAAAATAGGATTGTCATAGGATTGAGCAATTCCATTCCTAAGTATGTACACAAAACAACTGAAAGCAGGGATGTAAACAATACTTGTACTTTCAATGTTAATAGTTGCATTATTCCCAATAGCCAAAAAGTAGAAGCAACCCAAATGTTCATCAACAGATTGATGGATAAATAAAATGTGGTATATGCATACCGTGGAATATTATTCAGCCTTAAAGAGGAATGAGATTTTCATAGATGTTACAACATGGATGAGCCTTAAAAACATGCTAAGTGGAATAAGCCAGACAAAAAGGGACAAATATTGTTATTCCACTTGTAGTAAGTGCCTAGAAGAGGCAAATTCCTGGAGACAGAAAGTAGAAGTTATCAGGGATTAGAGAGCTGCTGTTTAATGGATACAGACTTTCTATTTAGAAAAATGAGAGTTCTGGAAACAGATAGTGTTGATTGTACAACCTTGTGAATGTACTTACTGCTGCCGGATTGCACAATGTTGTATTTTCATGAAAGAAAAGTAAATAAATTAATTAGTCTAATTATATTCAATATTTTCTGAGGATTTTGTCGACTATCTGATAACTTTTTTATATCCATTTTTTCGTGGACTCAAAAGTCATATTTCTCAAACTTGGACTCATACCAAACACCTTAGTAAATATTTAGCAGTCTAGTTACTCAGTTTCAGGTACCAATTAAAATGTTAATTGCTGAATCAGTTTTTTATGCTTCCTTCCTTTCTTTCTTTCTTTTCTTAGGGAGGCATACTTTGAAATAATAGTCCTTCTTCTGAATTACCTTCCAGGTGCTGTTAAATTTTCTTGGGTGAAGGTGTCTATTCCAGAGGGTGCATAGTTCCAGATGATTTCCTCAGCAGCGATGTAGTAATGCCTGACATGTTTCCCAAGGATGCTGTCCTCTGATGAAGGCTTGTTACAGTCTTGTACCTGGAAAAAGGCCTGCAGACCAGCTGAAAATCACATGGAAGGAGACATTGGTTAATGGAGCCAATGTTTCTCCCTCCTATTGCCTTGTAAACACTGCTGATGAAATGACAGATGGAAACTGAAGAAATAGACAGCTAGAAACAATATTAAAAATGATAGTAAACAGTTATAAATAAATTACGGATAGAAAATTTGAGCAGTAAAGCTTCTCCTTATGGCACAGAGAAGAGATATTAAGCACTAGTATTTTTCAAAAAATATTGTACCAATCTTTGTGGGTTTCACTTGGGATGTCTTTCGATGAGAAACAAAAAAGGACACATTAAAAGACAAGTAATAAAGAGAGAGATTTTGCCATATTTTAAGGGACGGGGTGGAGTGGAGGAGGGGGAATAGAATGCGCATATATTATTACTGTTCTTGGACAAAACAAAATGGCTATGTACCTGCTGTGCTGGGTCTTCTGAGACCAAGATGACATTTAATAGTGAGATTATATTTGAAGGTCAGAGTAACATGCCAAAAGACCCAGATTAAAGCTAGTTTCTTCAGGAGATCAATATTACAAACTAGTATTTTTCAAGAACAAGGAATGTTCTTATGTTGAAGAGATGAAGGAGGTATTTAGCAAGTTAAACCAAGGAGTAGCTGGACTCAAAGAACAAAGTTGGTTGTGTCTGATAGAACCAAATTAAAACAAACAACAAACAAACTACTTTTCAGCACAGTATATAAATCTTCTGGTGTTTACAATATTGTGTATTTTACAAACCAAAGAAGTTGTATATACTTCTCAGTGTATAGCTATACTTTTAGGACAGAAGAGTAATTCAGGGCCAGTTATGCTTTTTCTCAAATTAATATATTTTCATATTTCATTATTTTGTAAAATTCTAGTCTTTCAGTTTTTTTTATTATATTATGATGCATACCATCATAAGAATAAAATTAAATTACCAGTTCAAAGCTCAGATTATTCTAAAGATATTTAACTTTTAGATTCTTTTTAAAAAAATTTTATTTACTTTTAGATTCTGATTCCCTGTTATCACCCCATTAGTAGTGTAACAGATACATGACTCTTTTTTTGGCCGAAAGCTCATTTCAGGTAAAGATGCCTTACCTTTCAGGTGGTTTAGATTCTGACAGCTAAGCATCCATTCTCCAGGACTCTGGGCCACCATAAAAGCTTCAAAGAGGGTAGCAGGAAAGAGATTGACTGTATCAATACGGTAGCCCTTATTAGTCAATACTTGGCCGTGGAAGAAAGCTGAGTGCACATCAATTTCATTACCCATGCCAAAAAGATACCATTTTACTTTGTCTTCTGCACACATGGAGAGTCCTGGGAGACTTCCAAAAGTATATCCATTCACAGCTGTAAGTCAAGATCAGAGATTGTGATTAAAAACATTGGTGCCTGGGATGGTAATAGTTATCTCTATAGAAATAAATATCAATTTGGATTGGAAAATACCTGGCACATGTACTGCTATTCCTTCCTCCGTACCTACATCAGACATTGCTAATCAATCATAGCACTCTTATTTTGGACCTGAATCCAGTCTCAGGATTTTTGTCAACACATTAGCAGATGAACACAACAATGAAGATGAAACCTATTTTTTCTCTGTTATAAGCTATACACATTAGCTGTGTAGCTGTGTATTAGTATGTGTATATGGGTATTTATAAATATAATGTATGCATATATATGTGCATATATACAAAATGTACACACGTAGAGTAAATTTTAGAAAGACTGAAGGTTATTTCATAATCAATCACATATCATGTTGATAGTGGTAATATTAATTTCAATTTTTTCTTTTTGCATGTTAGGACTTTGCTGATTTTCTGCAGTGAACATGAATTCCTTGTGTCATAAGAACACAAGGAAAGCTTTTTTCTTTTTTTAGAGATTATAAGTCAAAATTGGAAGAGATGTGACAGCAAAAAGAAGAAATCCAGGGGAAGGATAGTAAGGACCAGTACAAGAGCCACAAAGACCTAAAAATTCGAAGGCAGAATGGCCCAAGACCCTTTAAAGAAACCTAGGGGGATTTTAATACTCCACTTACAACAATGGATAGATCATCCAGACACAGAATCAATAAAGAAACAAGGGCTCTGGATGATACATTGGATCAGATGGACTTGACAGATATATTTACAACTCTGCATCCCAAAGCAACAGAATATACTTTCTTCTCAAGTGCACATGGAACATTCTCCAAGATAGATCACATAATGGGTCACAAAACAGCCATTCATAAGTATACAAGAATTGAGATCATACCATGCACACTTTCAGACCACAATGCTATGAAACTTGAAATCAACCACAGGAAAAAGTCTGGAAAACCTCCAAAAGCATGGAGGTTAAAGAACATCCTACTAAAGAATAAATGGGTCAACCAGGCAATTAGAGAAGAAATTTAAAAAATATATAGATACAAATGAAAATGAAAATACAACAATCCAAATGCTTTGGGATGCAGCAAAGGCAGTCCTGAGAGGACAATACATTGCAATCCAGACCTATCTTAAGAAACAAGAAAAATCACAAATACAAAATCTAACAGTACACCTAAAGGAAATAGAAGCAGAGCAGCAAAGACACCCCAAATCCAGCAGAATAAGAGAAATAATAAATATCAGAGCAGAAACAAATATAGAATCTAAAAAAACAGTAGAGAAGATCAATGACACCAAGAGTTGGTTTTTCGAAAAAATAACAAAATTGATAAACCTCTAGCCAGGCTTCTCAAAAAGAGAAGGGGGAGGACCCAAATAGATAAAATCATGAATGAAAATGGAATTATTACAACCAATCCCTCAGACATACAAGCAATTATCAGGGAATGCTATGAAAAATTATATGCCAAAATGTCGGGGAAGATGGTGGTGTAGGAGGATGCTGGGCTCACGGCGTCCTGCAGATCACTTAGATTCCACCCACACCTGCCTAAATAACCCAGAAAACTGCCAGAAGACTAGCAGAACGGATTCTCCAGAGCCAAGTGTAGATGAGCGGCTCACGGAAGAGAGTAGGAAGGGTGGAGAGGCAGTGTGTTCTACATGAACTGCTGGGAGGGAGCTGGGGTGGATGGGCAGCCCGCTGGCAAAGCAGAGCCCCCGAGTCTCGCTTGCAAAAGCAGAGGGGCCAGACAGAGTGTGTTATGACAGCAAGCGGGACTTAACATCTGGAAAGTTGTAAGTTAACAGCTCTGCTCGGAGAACGGGAGGGCTGGAGGACAACGGGAGGGAGAGTTGTTGAGTTCCGGACGACAGAGCTCAGTTTGGCGGGGAACATAGGCACTCACCAGCGCCATCTCCCTCGCCCATCCCCCAGCCAAAATCCTGAAGGGAACCAGTTCCTGCCAGGGAACTTGCTTGCTCCACGCAAACACCCAACACTGTGCTTCTGTGGATCCATCCCTCTGGCGGGTCTGACTCCCTCCTGGTGCCGCAGGGCCCCTCCCGAAGCAGATCTCTGAAGGAAAAGTGAGATGAGCCTGCCCCTCCCGCCCCTGTGCACCTTGCCCATCCACCCCAGCTAATACGCCAGATCCCCAGCACCACAAGCCTGGCAGTGTGCAAGTAGCCCAGATGGGCCACGCCACCCCACAGTGAATCCCGCCCCTAGGAGAGGGGAAGAGAAGGCACACACCAGTCTGACTGTGGCCCCAGCAGTGGGTTGGGGGCAGACATCAGGTCTGACTGTGGCCCCGCCCACCAACGCAAGTTATTCAAGACAGCACAGGGGAAGTGCCCAGCAGTCCCACACCACTCCAGGGACTATCCAAAATGACAAAACGGAAGAATCCCCCTCAAAAGAAACTCCAGGAAATAGTGACAGCTAACTAACTGATCAAAAATGATTTAAACAATATAACAGAAAGTGAATTTAGAATAATAGTCATAAAATTAATTGCTGGGCTTGAAAACAGTATAGAGGACAGCAGAGAATCTCTTGCTACAGAGATCAAGGGACTAAGGAACAGCCAGGAGGAGATAAAAAATGCTATTAATGAGTTGCAAAATAAAATGGAGACTACCACAGCTTGGATTGAAGAGGCGGAGGAGAGAATAGGTGAACTAGAAGATAAAATTATGGAAAAAGAAGAAGCTGAGAAAAAGAGATAAAAAAATCCAGGAGTATGAGGAGAAAATTAGAGAACTAAGTGAGGCACTAAAGAGAAATAATCTACGTATAATTGGTATTCCAGAGGAGGAAGAGAGAGGGAAAGGTGCTGAAG